AGCAAGGGGAGGAAGTATGAGGGAAAGTATGAGTTTAAGGGACATAAGTGTCTGTCTTCAAATAGTCATTACTTCTCAACCGCTTGCCCATTTGCTGAGATCTTTGGCTCTTTAGACTCACAATAAAGTGAAAAAAAATACGGTCTAAGAATATGGTACCCTATCATAGCTCGAATAAGCAGAATTTGCAAAATTTAAAAATTTTTACCCAAAAATTGTTTTAATTACACATTACTCTTTAATCACGTATCCATTCACCACACAAGTTAGCTCATTTAAAAGTTCAGGACAAGGTGAATTATGTTTTATAATAGTCAAAATGCAAGTAACATAGTAACAATGTTCTTAAAATTACACTACAAAAATAAGTGTCAAATTTGCCAAAAATAGGCCTACAGATTAAGGGATAATATATTAAAATGGGTTATGAGGCCGCTTTTCCTGACTAAATTATTAGGAAAACAAAATCTCCTTTATTTTTATTTTCTTTTTTTTTCTCCAACTACTTCAATAACCATAAATTAAAACACTCATAATTTGATTTGAATCTTGGTTGAGGAGGTTAAAAAAAGTTAACTGAAAAATTGAAGAACTAGTCAAAGAAGAAACTAAAAATAAAGAGTTAAAAGACCGAGAATTAGCCGATTTAAGGCAACAAAGAACAGAATTAGAAGATAAACACAGAATTTATAAAAAAAACCATAAGTAGACATCGGTCGTTTTGCAAAGTATCCTATCCCTCAAATAGTTTGTAAATTTTCAGATCGATCGGCAAAATTCTTAAACGTCAAAATATTTAACTCGAGATATAGTTACATGCTCAACTTTGGTCATAAAACTATATCTCAACTCTTTACGACGAGTTTGTGATTTATTTTATTGCTATTTTACTCTACAGATTACAAATAAATCGAATTTTTCAAACCGTTTGACTATTCTTGTCTTGATAGGATACTTTTACATCTTACTGTATTTCAGAAGTTCTGCATGTTTTTAGCTCTCTTCTGCACACAGTTGAAGCTCAAAGCCCAAATACGATATTACTGTCCCGCTTTCTACTGTAGACCATTAGCCAAACTTAGTTATAATTATCGGGTAACCAGACTGTAAAAATTATGTCAGCGTTATTATCGATTTTAATGATTTGGTACCAAAGTTACTCGATAAAAAGTATGTCAAGCATAAAAAGAATATCTTTCTTCGTTGCTCAAAACGAACAAGGTGACTTATTACACGACGGCCGGCTATATTAGTAAAAGTTTACTTGCTAAATTTCCACTCATTCTGGCTGAGGGTACTGTAAGTACTGTATAACTGGGATATAAACGGGGTACGAGTGTAATTATATAAATGCACACAATATAAATAGGGTTTTTGGTTCAATGTTTTGATGTAAATATTTTCGAATAATCAAGGCACGTACGTAATTTATTTTGGAATAGAATTTAACGAAGTTGACAATGTAATTATACACCACACGACGATTGGAATCTTTTCTAGTCTTTTTCGCTCAAGCGCATCGATAACTTGGTGCCGCCACCTTAAGAAGTCGTCACAATTGAAAAATCTTCGCATTGATTCTAACCGATTATTTACGCAATGAAATATTACTCATGAAATGGCGAATTTCTCTTGAGGTATAAGAACTCTGATGAGAAGAAAGTATCACATGGTGAGTAATAGTTAACAACTTTATTAATCACCAACAATGAGTGCCAGCTAAACATATGATATTCTTTCCGGTCTGGTCACAAGATATTGTCAGTCGAAGAACCCAGAATCTTCACAGTTAGTGGTATATAATAACAATAATAAAAACGTTACCTTGTTCCAATCAGCTAGACGGCTTGTAATCAATAAGAACGCAGATACCATCTGGAAACTTGTTCCAGTCAATAAAATGATGCTCTTTGTCAATAATGGTCTCTAGACTCGTGTGTCTAGGTTCAGTCTTTTGCGTCGGTTGCCGTCCTTTCTCTTTTCTCAACCTCTGTCTTTCGGATCTTCTTACATTTTCGTTATATAGCGTTCGTTTCCCTTTGTCTGATTCACA